AAAAAAAAAAAAAAAAAAAAAAAAAAAAAAAAAAAAAAAGTGCATTTGTTGTGGTAAGCACAGGGTGATGTATAGAAGTGTGTACACCTGAAACTAATATAATAGTGTCTATTAACTACCTAGAATTAAAATAGAGACTTAAGGGGTAGCTGGGGAGCTCAGTCGGATAAGTGTCCTGCTTTGGTTCAGGTGGTGATCTCGCAGTTCGTGGGTTCGAGCCCCAGGTCGGGTTCTGGGCTGACAGCTCTGGGCCTGGAGCCTGCTTTGGATTCTGTGTCTCCCTCTGTCTCTGCTCCTCCCTCTCCCAGAAATAAGCAAACATTAAAAAAAAATTTTAATAAAAACTTAAAATAGTAAAAAAATGGACAAGGAGAAGGAGAAGGAGAAGAAGAAGAGAAAATTTCAAGTTTTCAAGTCACCGAGAGGCCAAAGAACATTTGGGGAGATCATTTCCCTTTGTTCAATCTGTACCACACTTTTATCTTTTGTTTTTGCAGCATCCTGTAACTATAGAATTTCCAGGGCTATTTCTGGACAGTCCCAAGAGATGGAAACATAATTAACAGTGCTCCATATAAAATACAAGTTATGTAGACCATCACACTTTAATTACTCTCAGAATCCAACTCTAATGTAATAGGCATCGAGTTTCTTCTGGAGGCAAACACAGCAGGCCCCTGCTAGCAGAGTCTCGAGATCTCTCTGATACTTCTGCACGGCCTTGTCACTGCCCCTAGATACCGTGCTGTGATAAACGAATCAGATGATGCAATTAGGAAGCGGGTTCTTCAGGTTACCCTTCTAATCACGCAGTCACGTCACAGCCATCTCCCAGCCTGCCTGGTTTTCTGGCATTGCAGCCCCAGGATGCCTGAGGAGAACAGCCCACGCCAACCAGGGACTTGCAATTCTGCACTGTAATTACCTCCTTGCACCATAAGGCATAGAGAGGTCACATCCTGCCAATGCCACAATAAATTAAACCAAATAACACCCTCTGGAATCCTCCTTTGACCGTAATGGAAGCTCTGAATCCCTACACACATGATCCTGATAAATACTTTTGTAGATCAACAGCCTTCGGAGCTGTGTGCCTAGGGGAGACCAAACTATAAGTTGGAGACTGGGGGCTGTGTAGTGCAATGTTCAGTGGGGTTGCCTGCTTCCTGCGCCTCAAGCCTGAGAGCCCCAGGTAGAAAGGACATGGGGGAGGTTCAGAGAAGAACCCCAGGACCAATGAAAGGCCGCAGAATCCAACCAACTCAGAAAGTCGACAGAACTGGAATTTCTCTACAGGGAGAGGACCTGAAGAAAATTTAATAAGGACCTGATAGCAAGGAAATTACTCAGGTACTGTATTTTGCCACAGAAAAAGGACTAGAGAAAATTAAATTATACCATGCACATTTACGTTAAAAATAAGAAATAGAGATTTACCTGATAATAAAAGTAATGTTTGAAATGGGCTGTATAAACAAAAGCCTTTGTTCATTTTGAATTTTACTATAATTATTATTATGTAAGGTGCATTCTCATTTCTCACCTTACTATGCAACTCTTTTGAATGGTGAGGTCAAGCAGTAATTTTCCAGAAAAAAAATCCTCTGCTGCTCTCTCAGTCTTTTGTCCCTATCTTCCTTCCTTCCTTTTTTTTTTTTTAGGTCAAACATTGTAAACTTCCAAATCAGCTGGGTTCAATTTGTGCCACTTAACTTGAAGGTCCATGGCCAATGGTGACTATAGCACCATCCACAGTCACCTGGGAGGCCCCAGAACGTGAAGGCAGAGAGGAGCCTGTGGAATAAGAGAGAAAGCCTGGACACTTACATTTGAGAGCGGGGAGATACCTACAAGGAACAACAGACATAGGAAGAAGGCAACTGGTTCAATTAGGATTCCCTAATACAGCCTCCAATTTGAAAGAGAAAGAAAACAGCAAGTTCCAAAACGGAATTATAAAAAAAAGAAGGTGTCTGGGAGGTGGGCATTGTGGAAACTCAGCCAACCTCAGAGCTCCCTTCTTCCCAAGTCTCAGCTCAAGTCGGGAGGTGAACATGTTCTCCTGCCCAGTCCTGGCCCCCAACTCAAGATCTGACTTCACCATCTCTGAACTAATTTTCTCCATCTGTACAGTAAGAAGGAAATCTCTGTGCCCTATCTTCCTCAGGTTATGAAAGCTAATAAGAAAGCATGTTAAAAACCACTGGGGTTCTAGTAAAACAGATGCCCAGGGAGCACGGTACTTCCCGTAGTTTTTGACTTGTTTTTTCAGGGCGCGTTGGTCTTTATTCCTGCTCTTAGAAAAATGCACATAAATTCCACAGAGTTGCCTCCTACAAAAGGAAAACAGCAGCCCCCCTCAGGTTCTGGGAGCTGCCTGTGAGCCCTGCCGCCTGACACTGGATTAGGCAATGAGGCCATTCCATTTGTCCCAACGAGCCTCCAAATTCCCAGGTCAGAGAAGTCCCAAGTACAAGGGAGGACAGGCGAGCCACCACATGGGGGTAGAGTTCAAGGCTGGAAGGCTTACACCAAAAGAAAACTTACAGAATTCTTACTTGTTTTGTTGCTTTAACCTTTCTTCTAGGGTTTTGTTTTATTCCTCCTCTCATTCGTAAGATCTTCATTTTTTAAAACTAACTTTTCATATGGAAATAAGAAATATTGTTCTTTTAATATAGTTTATTATTTTTGAGACAGAGAGAGACAGAACAAGAGTGGGGGAGGGGCAGAGAGAGAGGGAGACACAGAATCTGAAACAGGCTCCACACTCTCAGCTGTCAGCACAGAACCTGATGCAGGGCTCGAACCCACAAACCGTGAGATCATGACCTGAGCCAAATTCGGACACTTAACCGACTGAGTCACCAGATACACTGTTTTAATTTTTTAAAATGTTTTTATATTGTTTTAAAACAGTGTGCCCTAGTATCAATTCTGTGAATATGTAATAGAAGGTGCACCAGTCAAGTAAATCTCAAAGCCCCCGTTTTCAATAAATGCTCCAAGTATGCAGAAAAGCCCAACCATTGGTATTTCTACAACAAAATGCCTATACATTATTTTAAAAGGTGCCAATTGCTCTCTTGTTTACATTTCCCCTTGCTTTGAGAAAAAGAGATGATACCAAGCATCCTCTTTAAGTAAGGACTTTTCTCCTCATCAAAGCCCAGCACGTACCAGCAATGAATTTTTCAAAAAGCATTCAATCCTTCTCAGGAAATTTCTCTCACTGGAGATTAGCTTTTCAAAAAGATGCAGTGTTGCTTTTTCAAGGCTGGGAAGGTGCCGAAGCCAGAGGCAGATGACAGCTGATGTGGGGAGAGAAATCTTCTTCCTTTCAGCAAAAATAAACAAAATTTTAAATAGAAATCGGTTACTGAGAAAATAAGACTGAGAGAGATCAAAACGCAGTCACAAATCCAGTTTGTGAATCTTTTCATCATGGTCAGCAGCAGTTAATATTTATAGTATCCATGAATATTCACCAAGTGTCCATTTGCAAAATAATGTGAATTTGCTTCCAATTCAACTCACGAAATTAGAGAAATGCTCAAAGAAAATAATGCTTTCAAAAAGGACAAATATCAGTGATGGAAGAAAGAGTGATAAAAGAAAAGATGGAAAAAGGCCTTGAGGTATACAGTCCCTAATTTAAGAAAGTTATGTTTGGAAGACATTTGTTGGGATGAGCACTGGGTGTTATATGTAGGGTATGAATCACTGGATTCTACTCCTGAAATCATTATTGCACTATATGCTAACTAACTTGGATGTAAATTAAAAAACAACTTATATTTGAAAGTACATCATAAGGATTTAAAGTGTGTATAATCAGATCTGGGTTTGAGTCCCAGGGCTACCATTGACTAACTGGATGGCTTTTGGGAAAATTACTTCACCTCCAAACCTCAGTTTACTCATCTATAAAATGGGCCCATCTCCCTAATAGTGTTCTGAGAAGTATCAAATGCAGTAATTATATATGTATAGAGATTAGCACAGTGCTTGACATCTAGTAAATGTTCAGTAACTATATTTATAAATCTGTTGCTTGCAAGTTAAAAAAGGTCTTTTCCTCTAGTAACAATTTCATATATGGTGGTTATGACCTGGTAGATCTGGTGTCGATTCCTACCGTGATACTCTGGGCCCCAAACATTTTGTGGAGCTGCGTTTCCACAGGAGAAGGTATGTGGAGGTTCCTCCTGTGTCAGGTCAGTGAGTCAGGGGCTCTGCCTCCTGGGAGGTAGAGTTAAGGGGACACCTGTCAAACTCTGAGCCACTGGTGGCCGTCCCCACAGTGAACACTGGGCGTGTTCTGGTCTGATAAGACTTCTCTTTCCTCCTTCAGCCCTGCTTTCCCAAGCGAGGCCTCCCGCCTCTGCACCTGCAGCACCACAGACAGCAGAGCGCTTTCCAGGTTCTGCCAGAGGTGTTTACTGCCTTGAGTAAGACAAACAAAAGCTGAGGGCACAGAGGCTCCCTATTACCCCAAAACCCCCTCAGGTCCTTCCTTTCACCATGGCTTCTGGGCCATTTCTCTGCAGGAGCTGGCCTGAAGCCCAGGGAATGGGGGCCGGGGCAGGAAATGAATAGGAGGAGTCACAGTGCAATTTCTCATGATTTCTCTTTTTTCTTCTCCCTCAGCACAACTCCTGCAGACCTTTGTCATGGATTGACTCTGGGGCAAGGCTAGACAAAGCTGAAGAGTTGCAAGGACTCTCACAGAAGCAGACAGAGGGCAGGATAAAGGGCGGGAGGGAGGCCCCCTTCTAACTCTTTCTGATCTTACATTCTTACCCCGAGCTTCAACACTTCTGGGAAGTCCTGTTGGGCTCCCTTCCCCCACCTCCCCACACCTGGCAAAGTACAACTGCCATGGTACCCCCACCCCTGCATCACCTGGCACATCTGGGGGCCACACTATGGATGCCACCAGTGCTCTAGGCTGCAATTCTCATGCCACCTCCCCTATTATACTCAATGGCAAGGAGCTGGTGGTCATTCATTCAAGGAAGATGATGGAGCACTTCCTGTGTGCCAGGTACAGTCCAGAAAACTGGGAACAAAACAGACCCAGTGTATACCCCTAGTGCTCGGAGCCCGATGGGAGGTACACATCACACACACACACACCAAAAACTGAGAAAAAGGCAATTAACGAGAAGGACAGGCTGAGGTAAAAGAGAATAAGAGAAGGGTCTCAGTTTAGATTGGGTGGTCAGGGACTGCCTCTCCAGCTGATGTGTGATTAGCTGTGAAGAGTCGCCAGAAGGGCATTCCAGCTGAGGGAAGGGCAGCTGTGATGGTCCTGAGACAGGGAACAAGGACAGAAGAAGAGAGAAGCCCCAGAGTGCAAAGGTGACGTGGCCTGTGATGAGGCGGTACCGTAGGAAGGTAAGGCTCTGGGATTCTTATTCAGTGATTATTCTGGCCTGAAGACTTTACACAGAGGAGTGTCAAAGATCACTCCAGTTGCAGCACAGAGAACAGAGTGTGGGACTAGAATGGGTGTGGGAGCCAAGGGGGAGCTGGTAGCTGGCATGACCCAGGTGGCAGTGGAGAAGTGAAGAGTATCTAGAGTATCTAGAATGTATTTTAGTAGTAACATCAAGAGGAACTGACAATGAATTTGATGAGAGGTGGTGAAGGTGAAGTAGCGATCAAGGTTGTCCTAGGTTTCCTGAGCAACGAGGTGGATGGGCCTATCATTTACTCCGATGGAAAGAAGGAAAGAGAAGGGTGTGAAGGGTTTATTAAAAGTTTTGTTTGGGGTGTACAAATTTAATTTTTTTAAATGTTTATTTTTGAGAGAGAGAGAGAGAAACAGAGTGTGAGCATGGGAGGAGCAGAGAGAGGGAGACACAGAATCTGAAGCAGGCTCTAGGCTCCAACCTGTCAGCACAGAACCCATCATGGGGCTCAAACTTGCCAACTGGGAGACCATGACCTGAGCTGAAGTTGGATGCTTAACTGCCACCCAGGGGCCCATTTTTTAAAATTTATTTTTTAATGGAGTGTACAAATTTAGAATATCTGAGGAGCGCTCAAAAAGCGGGATAAAGTAAGTCCTTGAATATCCAAGTTCAAAGTTCTGGGGAGATGTCTGGGCTGAAGATATATATATTAAGGAACCATACTGTCAAACAGCATGGAGTGACACAAGAGAGAACTCCAAAGGAATGAGGTCTCTGTGGAGGGAGAAGAGGGCCCAGGTCTGTGCCCTGAGTAGTGACAACAGGTAGATGAGGAAGAAGAGTTGTAGATGGAGGAGGTAGGAAATACATAAGCAGAGAACAATTGTCACCCAGTAAGAGAAGGAAGGTCTGGCTCTGACCAGCACTGCTAAGACAGACTAAGGACGTGGAGAGGGAAACAGATGCACAGCACTCAACAGGCCCTTCGTGACCTCCCCAAGGACATGGTTTTGACAGACAGAAGCCAAGAGCAGTCAATGAGACAGGATGGAAGTGCAGCCATTACTGGTGCCAGGTCTTCAGAGGGAGCCCACACCAGGAGGCCACACAGGCGTGTAGTATGCAGGACAGCAGAGCTGACTGGTAAGCCAAATGCAGAGGAACAGAAGAGGCTCAAAGCCATTTATTAAGTGCTTACTTGAAACCATGTTAACCATTTTACTTGTATTTTAATCTACAAAACAGGTACCGTTATTATCCTTGTTTTGCAGAGAAGGCAACTGAGGTCAGAGAAAGACCAAGGACTCACAGCTACAATTTGAACCCAGAAGGTTTGATGCTGGCGCTGGTTGTCCACCTAAGATTATCCACGAGTCTCTCCACTCTGCAGACTGGAGAGTTAGAGGTGCTGCTTGGAAGAGGGGCCTGGGCCCAGGAGAGCGAGGAGATGGACTTCCCACATAAGCCAGATGCCCTGGTGCCTGGACCTGTGTTCACTCCCTTCGGTATTTAGGAAGTCTTTTCAAACTCTAGGTTGTCAGCCAGTTTTAGTCACATTGGTAGACCCTCAGGAGGGGTTTCCATCCAGCTTTCTAAAGTAGAATACTACTGGGCAGGGGCAAAGGGTATCGTAGCCTGTGTCATGGAGTCAGAAAGCCCCCAAGAGGCAGGAAACTCTGAGGTGCAGAGGGAACATGGCTGCTCCGTGTCTCCTCCCTTCCCAAGCAGCAGGGATATCTTTTGATATTCTTATATGAAATAATGATGTACATCATTAGAGAAGCTTCTCACTTGAGTAACAGTTTTCAGGCACCACCATTCCTAGGCCCTCAGAGCAGCTGTGCGCATTAAATGTGATTTTTACCATTAGGTCACAGAGGCACGAGCTGTTGGGAATGAGCAGTAGGTAAATGTGAACAAATATAACAAGGAAGCTAGTGTAAAATGGTGGTGCCATCGAATATCTGAAATAAAAGATATTGCTTACTTAAAAATTTGTAGAAGATCCGCAAAATTACACATTCAAGTCAGTAAATACATACTACTTTTGTTCTATTCTCACAGCTTAAAAAATGTGTATATTAACAATTATCTTTTATTACCTGTGATTCAGAGTATACTGTATTATTTGCTGTGAATGACTAAATTTATGGACCCATGTTTAATATTTGAACAAAACAATCTATTTTGCCCACAAAACACCAGAAACATAACTTTGTAATCAATACTGGATGGAGAAATCACCAAAGCAATATGATCTTAATATACTTGCATAACAGAATTTGACTGGACCAACACATTCAGATTATATAAAAAGTTCTAAAAGTGTACCAGGTTAGTTTTGAAATAAAAAAGGCAAATTACATTATATGTCACTTATATCTCAATGAAACCAGGGGGGAAAGGCAAATTACCAAAGAAGAAATGCAAAAGGCCAATAAATATATGCAGATTTCAACCTTATTAATAGTAAAGAAAGGTAACTGAACACAGCTATCATTTTCATCCTCACACATCAGTAAAGTTTTGAAGAATGACAACATCCAGTGCTAAAGCAGGTACAGGGGACATATGTTCTTAGAGGTGAGACAGGGTATGGTTTTGTTCCTTCAGTTGTGTCATACCCCATGATGAACTGTAAAACAGACATCTTCCTGGCCTTCATAACCATACTTTTGTGACCCTGCCTGGCAGAAATAAACGCATCAGTGGGAGGACATTCACTGCAGCAGTACTATAAAAACAAAATTAAAAACAATTTGAATGCATCCATTGACAAGCAGCTGAATAAATTAAGGTCCATTTATATCAGGGAATATGTTTCTTTTTTATAAAAATGAGCTGGAACCGTATCCCGTGACGGCTATACAAGATATATTGGTTAAAACACAGGTTCTAGAGCCATGTGTAGGGTGTG